TATGTACAGGAGAGCAGTAACAATTCTAATCAAGTGTTGAAAAGAGTATCTTACCTGTGTATCCTATGACTGAAAACCTCTTTGACGGCTTTGCCTCTAGCACATAGATATGTGAATCTGAGGCACCAGTGAAAAGGTATTGCCCATCTTGATCAAAACTGTAAAAGCACAAACACACACACACATACAGTATATTCACACAATAAGAAAGACTGTAAACATTTAATGTGACATTTTTATTTTCTTTCGGGACCAGAAGTGGAAGAGAAGTTATCCCCACTGGGTTTTATGGGTAGTGATTGTCACGCCCAGCTCCCGCAGTTAGGTTATGTGTTCAGTTTTTGTCTGTTCCTGTTGTGCTTCAGTGACTCATCTTGTGTCTTGTTCCAGGGGCCTTTCCGAAAGTAGACCCTCGCCACTTCCACTCCGACAGGGAGTGAACTCTGGTCGAGTCACCCTCCAGGCCAAATCGAGCTCCCTAACCCGCATAGGGTTTAAATACAGCGACAACTTTCGGATGAACTACCCTCTCTCCCCTGCATAAATAGGATCTGACGTTACCGCTGCACTCACTGCTATAATACGTGTATCAAATAAACAACAGTGGTATTAAGATTCAGGATTGATGTTGAGGAAAGGTGTGTTTTTTGCGATAATGAGACTGAAAGCATTTGTCATTCATTTTGTGTTTGTGTTCGTGTCAAATAATTCTTTAAGAACATGACTATATATATATTTAAGAAAAATAAATATTATATTCTTTTATGAAAAGATTAATATTCATTGTAAAGCCTATATATTTGAACCTCTTTAAATCTAGCCTATATGAAAAATGTTACATTCACAAATACAACATTTCAATATAAATCATATGGGCTACGTTGTTAACCTGTGAATGGTGATGTGACAATGTTAGCGTAGTTAACACATGTTAACCGGCGAAGTCACACAGAACGCAAATTGAAAGAAAGGTCCCCCATCGTGCAGCAAAGGGTGTTACACACCTTCAAGAAGCAAGCATCGGTGCTGACTCGGCATTTGAGGGTTTAACAACCCACTACCACTCCGCCCTCATTGGTTTCGGATGGCACTCAATGTGGCGGACTCTCCGCATGAACGCGCAAACGGAGTGGAAGTATGTAGGGAGAGGGAGCAGCAAGCAGTTTCAGAAAGGACCCGGGCCTTTGTCTGCCTTCCCTCCATGTGTGATTACCAGTCCCCGCCCTAATGTGCTTCACCTGTGCCTCGTTGTTTCCTCTACCCCAGTGTATACAGGTGAAACTCGAAAAATTAGACTGAGAGACCAATTAAAGGCTCAGGAACCCTTTGCAGGTGTTTTGGATTAATTAGCTGATTAGAGTGTGACACTTTGAGCCTACAATACTGAACCTTTTCACAATATTCTAATTTTCTGAGATTTTGAATTTGGGGTTTTCATAAGCTGTATGCAATAATCATCAAAATTATATCAAATAAAGGCTTAAAATATCTCACTTTGCATGTAATGAGTCTATATAATATATTAGTTTCACCTTTTAAGTTGAATTACTGAAATAAATAAACTTTTGCACGATATGCTGCTCGAGTTTCACCTGTATATACCCTTGTCCCCTTTGTGCCTGTGTCAGTTCGTCTTGATTCCTTGTGTCGGCGTTCCAGCAATTTCCCAGTGTTTGCCTTAGTGTGTTTTGACCTCAGTATCTGTTTTTTGACTACGGTTATTGCCCTACGATTTTGTACTACTGTCAATAAATGATCTTTTGCGAACCACCTTGAGTCGTGCCCTGTGAGTCCATTACCCCGGTGTGAGCTTGACAGTGATAACTTATGCTTCTACTACATAAATGTATTATTTGATGCTTGTCAGAACTGTTTGAAACTGAAACTCTGTGGCATCACAGGGATGGAGGATACTTGCACTAGGTGATCCACAGGCGTGCGGTAGAGATGAACCTGGTGCACCAGCCGAGGCTGCTGCTCCCTGTTTAGGTCAATGAAGAGGACATTTCCTGAAGTTGTACCAACAGCTGCGTACTGTGCAATTGGACAGCAGGCCAGACTTGTCACCTAAACAGACACAGATCACAAATTTTAAGTTTACATCTATTCTGATTCATTTCAACTTAAGTAATTTCCGCATGCTTACAGAACAAGTGTATTAATGTGGCACTACTCATATGTTCTGAATGTTGATGTGTTGTGAATCTGACCTCCGCTTGAAGAGAAAGGTTACTGAGGCAAAGGCCATCTGTGGACCACAGCTGCAGTTCTCCAGAATCCCTCACTGACTGCAACCAGCAAAAACACAAACACTCAAGAGACATTAACCTAAATTACACATGCCATCATGAGACACTGTAATTGTTGAGTAAAACAAATGTTTTACCACACAAATGTTCTTGTCAGCGTGCGACAAAGCTGCTGTCACAAAGTTGCTGCTGAGATCATCCAGGACCTTCACAATCTTGTCTGACCAGGTTGAATTCAGCATATAGATTTGGCCCTGAAGAACAAGAAGCCTGTTATGATCTTTTCTCTCAAGGGACAAATTATTATTTAATGGACTAGCATGTGTCTTTATGTACAATGGGCCACACTATGATATATTTAAGTACTTACTGTTTTAGAAGATAAAAGCAATGTTTCATAGTCCGGGGAGTACATTACAGTAGTGACAGGTCCTTCTAATTGCCATTTTTGTGTGATGTCCAGCTGAATCCCTTTGATTTGCAGACAGTGCACAACACTACCCTGTAAAACATGCACATTTTAAAGGGCTTTTAAAGTGGAGAAAATTGAGAAGTGAACTTCTATGTTTCTTCATTAAATTTTTAAGGTCTCATACTCAGTGAGCCAAGCAGATGTTAACAGCTGCATTGGGTTTGTACCTTTCCCACAGCAATCAAACCATTCTTGTTAACTGTTAAACCTTGAAAGTTGCTCTGTCTGAGTTCAGGGATGGCATCAGCAGCTGGACAAAAATGAAACACAAATAAAATTAGGCAATACTTATGTGGAACAGTAGAAATATTGCCAGGGTCTTTTAAAATATCTACACACACCCCAGTGTCCCCCTTGTGTGTGACTGTTTACTTGTGGGGTTGAAGAGGACCGAGACAGAGAGGCTCTCTGGTTCAACGAGGAGCAGAAAGCCTTCCGCACAGCCCACATAAAGCTCTGATGTGGCTGTCCAGCAGATGGCAGTAGGAGTAAGTCTGGCTTTGGTGTAGAGTTTAGCCTGTGTAAACACATATGGAGTTGGGTAACTGTTTACATTTTGACTTTGTTTGTGTGCCTGATAACAAAATTGTTTTCCCAACAAACAGATTCATAGATCCACAGCTGTATCATCAAAACAAACATATTAAATGGTGAAAGTGTATTTATTTTATCTATATAGGTAAACAAGTGACAGTGGGACAATACCACAACGCTTTCTGCCTTGTCTCCCTTGAGTCTTGAGATGGCTGATGGAGGCATCTCTGGACCAAAATAGGGCAGTTTGTCGCTGACAGAGGTGTGTACCAATCTCTCAACAAAGGAACCATCCGTTGCTGGAAGCTCAATTACACTGCAATGCAACAAATATGACATACACATAAGTAATATTGCTTGACACTGTGTTATCTAGGTTCTGCGTGTGTTTATTGAAAGTGAATAATAAATGCAGATAATACAGATTAATTTACTAGTTAATTCACAGGCAATGCACATAAAATATCATGTCCATAAATCAATTTAGAACTACTTTCTTGTGCAGTCAAGTCTGCTTTACCTTGGTTTCAGGACATGAAAGCTGGCACTCTTCTCTATATTCCAAACAGTGAGGGATGCAGTGCCCAAAGCACAAAGCTGTTGCCAATTCAGAGGGTTGAACACCAATGAAATTACATCACGCCCAGCTTGTGGTTGTGTACAAATTGGCTCAGCATTTTCCCAGTTCCTGCATCACACAGTCATGATTACAGTAACAGAGCTGCTCAACCTAAATAAACATGACTGAAAAATATGTAGCACACAATATAAGGTAGTGTACTGCTTTCATTGGCTTACCAAACTGTTATGGTGTGGTCTGGAAGAGAGGAACAGCAACCCAAATAAGGAGCAGCGTCACTTAATGTCAGAGATGTGTAGTCCAGTTGGGCTGTTCCTAAAAAAGGGTCAGTGAAAGAGGATAAATGTGGGAGGAAGGTCTACTGACAAACAATCACTCCTGGAAGAAAATTAGATAAATAAGAAAAATAATGGAATATTATAGCATAAAGCATTGCAAAGATTTAGATAGTGGTCTGAGCTTCGTTGAAAATATCACCTTACCTTTTAGTTCATTCTTTAGCTGAAAGTCAGGAAAAGTGTACACAAAAATAGATGGGGATAGCTTTTGCTCAGAGAAAGCAAACATCCCATTGTTGCCATTGGCTGTCAATGCACCAATGTCTCTGCCAGGACCTTGAAACACACTTCGTATTTTTGTTTCCAGGTTCAGGAAACAGATATGACTCCCACATGTGTAACATACTGTTTTATTGTCGACAAACCCGACGCTCTTGTTTCTAAAACCTCGTATCCACCTGGATGGAGTAAAACAAATATATCAGCCACTCTCGCGTATTAGCAAACACACAGAGGTGACCATTACTTTCACTAAAAGAAAATTACTCTAACTAAGTTATAATTACCCGAGTACATGAGATGCACAAACTGGAGCTTAATAGTAGCTAACGTTTTGGACAACTGTGATAAACACAGTACATTAATGATGTATTTAACGGAAGTAAAAATACATAGGTGTATTTGTAGCGGCGACATACCTGATTTCTAAACTTCCACTGTCATCCATTTTAATATAAAACCGAACAATAAAACTAAAATTTAAGAAAATAAATTTTTTTCACCAACACGGCATTCAAACAAACTGTCGTCTCCCTGGCTACCAGAACACTCATGAGACTCCTCCCTTTTCATGCTATTGGCTTATGCTATCATCTGACACACCTATACCGGAAGTACAAATTGTGTATAAGTATTCCCTTTTTTTATATATTCGTATCAATTGAATTAGGGCGTTGCGTTGTTCACCTCTTCGTTTAGTGCAAAGGACATTTTCACCACCTGAAGAGTAAACATGTCGACTGAAAAGTCTTTCGCCAAAGGTAAGACAGACAGCGAAAACTTGGTGAACTGAAAAAGCATCTTGAAGTCTGCTGTTATGTTTTGTTAGCAGGCTTAACAAAGATGAGCGTAACATTTACAGTTTCTCTTACTAAGATATGTCACGTGCATATCAGAAGTTTATACATGTTGACTTTCTTTTCCACTGAATATAGTGCTTTGCATTTAAACCTGTGAACTGAACATGCTGCAAAATATTTGCACTTCCTTTTCTTCTGCTCTGACTTCTGCTGTTACGTTGCGAAATGCTAGAAGCGATGATAGGCGCGGTATTTGCAAAGTCATTGTGGTTATTCACAATGCAATCTCTTCAACCCAGTTCATAACTCAAACAGTATCCACGCCTTATTAACTTGTGTGTTATCTGTACCATCTAACGTTAATGTAATCCACTCTTAAGAGTTATTAGCACAGTGACTCAGTGAATAATCTGACGTGCAGTTTTGAAAGATGATATGCTAGAAGTAACTTAGGCTACTTTACTGATGTTTATAAGTCAGTTATTTAAAACATACTTTAAAAGTGACTGCAGTTATTACAAAATACCACTTGGTCTCTCATGTGTGACTGTAGAAGGCTGACAGAATAGAGTTCAGACAGTTTTACATAAGAAAAGTAGTTAAATACGTAAATTACTGAGATGCTTTACTTAAGCAAAAGTATTCACAATCCATAATTAAAGATGTTATTATATTATTGGGTTATTATTATTATTGATGCAGTCATAACTGTTTTATATATGTTATTGCAGTTTAGTCTGTAACAATGCATCATACTTGATCATATTTTTGGTATGTAGAATATTAATCTAGAAATAAACTAAGTGTGGCTGTCAGTTAAATGTAGAGTATAAAGTACAACAATTTCCTCTGAAATGATTTAATTTGTATTTTAATTGGAAAACTTACAAATACACAAATAAATTAGAGCCAGCTTACCACTTCAGTCGTCACTCATAAAGGTAATGCACATGCCTCCGCAACTGGCCAGTTAAAGAGTGTCCACTTTCTGATGCTTATAAATTTGACTAAATCTGTAGACTTTAATGGTTGTGATTTAAGATGTGAAGCATTAAGAAATTGTCAGTGGTGGTGGTTACTTTCATGCATTAATGGCAGCAAACATAAATATCAATATGCTCTCTTAATTGCACTCATATGAAAATAGCATTATTTTTTTCTTTCAGGAAGTGCTGCACCCGGTCCAGTGCCCAAAGGCCGCATCAGACTTTACAGCATGAGATTCTGCCCTTTCGCCCAGAGAGCCAGATTAGTGCTGAATGCCAAAGGGATCAAGTAAAGACATGTTTAATGCTTTAATACTTTATTTTAAACCATAGCATCACTAATACCAACACCTGAAAATCCCACAATATGTTCTTTTGATTAAATTTGCAGAACCTGTTTTTGTCTTTCAGGTATGACACCATCAATATCAACCTGTCAGACAAGCCTGATTGGTACCTTCAGAGGAATCCCCTTGGTCTTGTCCCAACGCTGGAGACACCTGCTGGTGAGGTGATATATGAGTCTCCCATCACCTGTGAATACCTGGATGAAGTTTACCCTGAGAAGAAGCTGCTTCCTTCCTCTCCTTTTGCTAAAGCTCAACAAAAGATGATGCTGGAGAATTACTCCAAGGTATCTTATATGGAGACTTGCATCTAAATTGTGTGGTTGTTTTATATACTTGTCTACTGTTACCATCATCAAATGATCACATTAATGCCAATATTGTCTGCAGGTAGTACCATACTTCTACAAGATCCCATCAGCGAGAAACAATGGCGAGGATGTCTCAGGACTGGAAGCTGAACTGAAAGAGAAGTTTGCCAAATTAAATGAGGTAGGTTGTGAAGTAGTTAATTACTCTGGTTTCACATTGACCTGCAATGTAATTTGGTAGATTGCAAATCAAAATTGTCCATAGCAGTGAGTGTCAGTGCAACTGTAATTGTCTGTGAAATCATAACTGGCTAGTTTACAGTGTTTTATACAACACTGATGAAAGTAATGTGTATTTTTCCAGGATCTGGTTAATAAGAAGACCAAGTTCTTCGGTGGTGATTCCATCACAATGATCGACTACATGATGTGGCCGTGGTTTGAGAGGCTGGACGTCTTTGAACTGAAACAGTAAGTAATAATCACTCAGGACAATTTTAAAATAAATACATTTTATTTATGAAAGCATTTTAGAAAACCAAAGAGGAGCAAAAAGAATAAAATATTAGGTACAGTACAAAAGTAAGACCTGTATAATAAAGAACAGGGACTCTGTCAAGAACATTTAAGTCAGGTCATCTTTCCTTCTTGTCATTTTATGAGAGACTTATGTTATGATTCCCTTTTTGTCTTTTCAGCTGCCTTGATGGCACACCTGAGCTGAAGAAGTGGACAGAGCGCATGTTGGAGGACCCGGCTGTCAAAGCCACTATGCACAGTGTGGACACCTACAAGGCCTTCTACAAGAGTTACGTTGCGGGCAAACCCAACTATGACTACGGCCTGTAGAAAATAAGAGATCAAAACTCTTAAACTGTCAAACTTGTTTGGTTTTGGTCTTGGTTAGTCTGTTTCTAACTTTAATGTAGCAGGAAACAATTCTGTTGCAAATACCATTTACAGGTTAAGGTAAAGAGGGTATATGTGTTTTAATGGTGGTTAATAACCTATGTTGTGATTTTTCTATACTTATTTTGGGGGAAATATGAAATCATGATAATGGATAAATGACGTAAATATGACTCGAGGTGTTTTCTGTGATCCATTTCAAAGTGCTGCACTTTTTCTAATAAAAATGATCGCTCTAATGAATGACTCTGAATTTTGTGTCTGTTTCAAACTACTTTGTTTTTGTCCCATATAAAATGGAGCTCTACCAAAGATTTGACATCAGCACAGTGGAAATGTAACAATAAGCAATAAAAAACAAAAAGTTCATAACATTAAACATTGCAAAATGTGGTAGCTGCCATCAGATTCCCAACAGTATGAATGAAAACAAATACGCTGTTATACTATTTGGTAAATGATGTCCATTTAGATCGGCATTACATGAGAGGTATTTCTGTTAAAATGTTTCCCCAACTGACAAAAGTGCTTCGTCTTTTTTTCCCTCCTAGTGAATGCTGAAATGCATTCCTAAAATGATCATCCTTTGTAGCACATATGCTGAAAATCCTCCAGGTTACGCCTGTAAAACAACCAATATGACTTCAGAAACAGTCCTACAGACTGAGTCAAAAATAACTTCAAGGGAAAACAATATATTTCTAAAATCCTGTAGGCTACACGGTTTTGCCACTTGATTTTACAAATGACAGAACCCACTGTTGAAGTGCTGCTAATGTATATTAACACAGCGGTTACCTCATCAAGTGAAAAGAAACCAGCTATAGTAGAAACCACATTATGTCTATTATTAAAATAACAGCTGTATATGCACCTTTTCATTTCAGTACTTAAGAATCTGTTTATTATTTTAAGTAACAATGAAGACTGACTTAATATAATTCAGACCTCGAACACGGCTAAAGCTCACACACTTCCATTTAGGTGTAAACCTGTGTTTGCTAAGTGAGGTGTGTACTCCTTTATGAGCACAGGTGCATTTCTCAACATCTCATGGAAATGCCTGACTGTTGCTTCATAAAGCTCCCTCTGCAACACCAGAGGCCGGAACAGATTGATGGGCTCTGCTTTGCGGATGATCCCAGGAACCTGGACTTCTTTTGGCACTTTACTGTTCCCAATCAGAACATGATGAAGTCTCATCTCCCGTAGGCTTCCCTGCAAGAAGCTGAGCATGTCCTGAAGCCTGTGCTCTATACTCTCAATGCTCCACGCAGAGGGCCTTTTACTCAGCAACAAGTGCAACAGAGCAGTCTTTAAGTGGTAGTTGGTAAGGGCGGTTTTCCCCGTGAGTCCTGTTTGCTTTCTGTGTAGGAAAGTAACAATCTGAAGGCAGTGTAAATGACAGGAATTTTGTGGTAGGCGTTTAGCAAAATGTTTCAGCAAATTCCTCTCGTAGACAGCAAAAGAGAGGGGCCAGTACGGGTCTGGAGGGCTGTCACAGTCTGATGGAAAGTGTGAGACAAAATAAGCATCTGTATCCTTCAGCTGAACAACCGGTACGATGTTCATTACAATGACTTTCCCAGAACGGAATCGGATCTTCAGAGCCCCGGCGGCATCCAGGTTGCGAAAATTAACCTCAAAGTCGTACTTTTGAGAGATGCGTCCCCACGCTTTGGTAACAGAGATCTGAAACCACTTCATGACTTGATCTTTGGCTAAGAAAGGTGTGTTCCTGGAGCACAGAAGTTCATCAAGACTGTGGTCCGCTTTGAGTGTGTCACTCTTGCTGTGCAACAGACAGAGCATGTCCTCTCCCAGGTTAGCAGAGCCACAGAGACAGCCCTCATTGTTCTCCCCGAACCGGGTCACCTTTATCTTGCCACAGCCCTGCATGTGTGGAGGCATGTCACTGGAGGGACTGCACCACAGATGGAACTGGAAGCAGTACGGATCTGGAGGCGAGAAAGGCACTATAAGGTCGCACATCAGTGGCTTACACACCTTCCAAGACTCAAACATGCTTCCAATTCCGACAAAGTCCCCAACTTCCATGTCCACCTCCCTGTCACATACGCTCCTGAGTGATTCCAGCAAGTCGTCAGCAAAACCCTCAACAAACTCCCTCACCCTCCAGTTTTCACGGGCTGAAGTGTAAGAGCATTTGTCGCAGAAGTTGCTCAGGACATCCTTATCTAGTACCATTGTCCTGGGGGTGACAGAGCCACTCTCTGAAAATATGTCTTCATCCTCAACTGGCCGGATTTCTGTGTCAGCAAGATCCCCCCTGTACATCTCGATAGTGAAGAATATGACGAAAGACACGGTGCTCCAAATGTACCAACTATAACCTTCTTCCGGGCTGGTTTCTTCCTGCTTCGAGTCCAGCTGCGAGAGCTCTTTCTCCAGCTTGGCCTGCTCCATTTCCAGCCGCTCCTCGTGCGCCCGCATGCGAGCCATCAGCTCCTCGTCCTGTTCGGGAAGCGTGGTGTTCTCTTGAGGAAAGAGCAAGGGGTGGTTTAATATGGCAGCGGCCACAACCACACACACTCGTGCAATGGCCCCCTGCATCATCAGCTTGTTTCTAACATGCACGTCTAAGCGCCTCGCAGACGTCTAGGCAGCCGCAGCTCAGATCCTGAAACAATGAGAGAAGTTGTGGTTTTATTGATAAGCCAAGTGGATGTAAGACAAACGAGCACTAGTGTAAATAAATAAAACGTATCAAAATCATGGTATATTAAAAAAAAAAATCCCGTTATTTTTGTAAAGCCTTCCACCCCAGGGAGAAGCACAGACTGTACCTCTAAATATAGAGGCAGTAGACTGAGTGACGCACTCGTCCAGTATCAAACTGTGTATGCAACATGGGAGGAAGGAAGACTAGGCCCTTCTCTGATAACCCTATTTAGTTCCCAACATTATGCCTCTTAACACTTACATCCTGTTAACGTTTTGTACAGAATATAAAAAATAAAAAATAAACACTCCCCAACTAGAAAAAGTCCAAATAAAGTTTCACATTCTGACATTATCATCTTCTTTCCTGGACGTCATCAGATAACTTACAAGTAATGCAATAAACTGTAAGAGGAAATTACATAAGACTTGCTTATGTTTTAAGCTTTCAGTATAATTTAAAGGGACACTGTTCTGGTGAGGAAGGACTGAATTGTTTAAACTATCATTATAATCTTTAAAATAAGGCCATATAACGTGCTCAAAATGGGACTTCCTTCGAAACACTGAAGAGAAACGAAAACTAGGAAGTACACATGCATCACAGTCTCACTCTCAAATTCATGACATTATGAGCTGTTACATGTCAAGACTTTAAAATGGCAGCAGAGATGGCCAGTGGAGTACAGTATGTGAGGCCACAGAGCCAGGGAAACTTCCCATGACTTACTCAATGGGATGTTTGCCAACACTTACACACCCTCAGTCCATCCAAACAAAAACAAGCCAGACAGACAGAGACGCTGGTGCTGTAGCTCATTAATTATTTGAGATCGCCTTTTGTTACAGAAAAGGAAGGCTATACTCAACATAAACAAAGACTGAGAAATAACCCATTATTCCTGTTACAAATGCAAACATTTGTTATAACTCTTAATTTTAAAACATTCAGGGGGTTTGCTGTTACAGCCTTGGTCTGGTATGATCTCTAACTTGAAATGGATATTGTAAGCAAAACTTTGCTGTATAGGTTAACTGATATTACTAAGTAAGGTCGCTAATCTCTTCTTTACTTGTGCTACTGTTTTTACAATGTTTAGGCATTTACCATTATCCCGTAGGAGTCACTGTTCAACAAAAGTTACATTGAGTGCCAAGACCACAATGTAAAAACACTTTGTTACAAGTAAAACTGCATTACGGAAGCATTTTCAGCATGATGATATTATTAGATTAATATTACATATGAACATGTAAGCAGCGTTTTTCCAGATGCTCACGTTGGCATTGCTTTTAAGTTACATAGCGTTGGGTAGTTTAATCGATACAAATGCTTCAAATTTGCTTCTTATTTCATCATTTTTGTATGAAAGATGTAACCAGTAACTAAAGCGATCAAATTTAGTGGTCCTCTATATAAATGTATTGGGGTAAAGAGTACATTATTTTAGTAGCATGAAATGCAATTCTAAGTCAGTGGTGGAAAGCAAATACAATTTTCAGGTACTTTAGTAATCCCATTGTCTGCTACTTTATACTTCTATTCAACTACATTTGAAAACTGTACTTTTTACTCCACTTGATTTACTTTAGTTACTGGTTACTCTGCAGATTCAGAATATTAATCCAAATATAATCTAAAAGCAAATACATTAGGATGTATTATTATACATTAACCCACCAGCAGTATAAGGTAAAAATTTGCTTCACACTTGCAACTTTAAAGGGAAGTAAACATTAATGCATCAATTAATTAAATACAATATTATTCTGAAATTATTGACTGAAATTGAATGCAGCTTTATGTACACTGCTACTTTTACTTTAAGTGCTGAGTACTTCTTTCACTACTGAGTAAAGTACAAGTATAGCCTACTTTAAAATAGTGTCCATAAATAAATGTCTTTCCACCGGTGTTGACTCCCTTGGAGCTCAGGGTGTTTGGAGTAAGTAACTCACTACGCGGATGTGCTTATAAAGTAATGTGTTTCAGACACTTTGCCATGGGTTACCTCCTCAGTTGTCTTCGCAACAAAATAGTGGCCCACTCATCACGGAAATATGGTAGCAGACGATCATTACTCCTGACACATGAGTCACCTCACAGCCATTTTCAGCTCACAAACGGTGCGCTGTGTAGGATGCTGCGCAAAGCTTAGGAGCAACAACAACGTGTTTTCTTACTGGGGGGGGGGAGTACATTTGGATAACATAAAGAAAGTTGACAAACCTACCTTTCTGCTTTTTTGTGGCTGAGTTCATGATGATAAAGTCATGTGGCGGGATCTCTCAGAAGAGTGCAGCCTCACTAAACTCACGCGAACACCGAGGGGAACAGCAGCTCACAGATTTCTGACACATTTCCGGACTGTGAGCTCCACCTACAAAGAGATACCCCGCCCAGCTTCTTCTTTGCAACCAAAATAGGAACTTTGAGCTGTGAGGAGGAGCAGGATGCAGGTTTCACGGTGGATGTAAATCTCAAGAATGATGTGCACAATCAAAATGTTTTGCTCAATGTCATCCAGGATTTTTTTAAAGAAATTAAATCAGTCTTAATAAAAAGTAGTAACTTAAGCTGTCAAGTAAGCTACAATATTTAATTGTGGAGTAGACGTATAAAGTGGAGAATACATTTGCATGCGTAGAGTAGACGTGTAATGTAGGGAGTCCAGTAAAGTAAACCTGTGTGGTCTTTGAGAGTGCGTGTGCATGCCCCAGCAGCTGCAACGCACAGGATGTAATTCATATGTATGGAAGCCCTAAGCGGCCATCGATTCAAAAGTTTTTTTTACTCCATTTTCCCGAGATAACGAATGTTGTTTTCCCATGATAACCAGGGGTGGAGTGGTAATCTCGCATACTGGGCCAACATATCTTTGGGGCAGGTGTAATGTAAATTATTTATTTATATAGCTATTTATAAAGCACAGACAGTCGGTCATTGGGTAATTTTCTATACTGACATCAGGCTGGCCCAATCACATCTCCCAGCCCCCACCGCACATTTAGTATCAATAAACATTAACACATGTGAAAATCAAAACACAATGCTAAAATTATTTATTTTTGTTCATGAAGTCGCCTGTCAGGAAAAACACAACAACTGTGGATATGTAACAGTGGGTAAATCATGATCTTTTACCTCATTTTTATTTTATTCATTTCATCAGTGCGTTGTCTGTCACATCTGTCTGCGCAAGGCATGTGTCAGATCTCTCTGCCGCGGCTGCCTGAACTTTCCCTGTCCTCGTGACTATAACTTTTGTGTCATAACCACAATGACACAATGTAGGCTACAGATAACCTGCAATCCCTGCTGGAGCCTGAGAACTACACAACGATCAGTATTTAATGATTACTTAGGCTATGATCAAAACTCATGTTAAGTCTAATTTTTGGGGCAAACCGGACAGGAGTCGGGACAACTGCTTGTACTGTCTCGAATTTTTCGGGATTGTGGTCACCCTAGCCCCTTTGCTATTCTGAATTGTCACCTGCCACCTGAATTTTGTGCTTCCTTTTATAAAAATAAAGACTTTTCCACTATAAATTGGTGCAGAAATTGTCTCCAGAATGCAGGCAATTAAGAGTTTAATGCTCAAAATCTTATGGGGGAGGACCCCCAAACCCCCAATTGAATATTTAATTTCATTAATTCTTTTTAAATTAATATTTTTTCTAAATAGTAGGACTATTAAAATGTATTCTTGTCTTGTCATGGCCACCAATCTTGTGCAATGTCACTTCTCAGTGTTCCGTCATACCCCTAATCTGATCCCCTAAATGGAAGGATGGTGTATTGTTGAAGGGTGCCGACCAATTTTGGTGGGCCGCCTCGGCAAAAAAAAATTTTTGTCCTAGTCCAGTCCTGGTGATAACAGGATAATTTTCTTGTGATTGAGATAACTAAACAGTAGTTTAACACAGGGGTTGTCACAGTCTCTATGTGACCAGTATACTTGTTAGTGTTTTTGTGTTTTCTTCTGCTGTGTTTCTCTGGTGTGTGGTGTGGACTCTCTCAGGCAACTGCCTCTCCGGCACAGCTGCTGACAATCGGCTTATTTAGCTCCTGCTGAAATACTCTGAGCTCCTGACAGTCAGCACCAGATTGTAGTACTCACTTCAGTGGTAACAAACTTACAGCCAACTTTCTAGTGACTTCTAGCGAACATCTTGTAACGCGTTTTCTCCTTTTTGCTTCAGTGCCTGGGATTCTTGTCTGCCACACCAAGCCACCAGCAACAGGACCTTTTTGTTCAGCCACGCTCTCACCAACTCCGTCAATCAGCTCTCACTCTCCACCACAACTCCACTAAAACCCCCTGTGTAATTATTAAAATCCTTTTGTGAGCTTCACTCTGCAAGTATGTCTGCTCTTGAGTCCGAACCCACATTAAACATAACGGGGGTCAGCAGGAATGTTTCTAAATGGTAATTTCAGTGAGGTTTTCTGTTTCAATGGTTAGCTCAGTTGGTAGAGCACAGGACTTAATTTTAGGGTTGTGTGCTTGATCCTAAAGGAAGATCAGATCTTTTTCATGATCTTCAACAAAGTTCTTATGAAAAGACTGTTTCATATGCTCACAATAAAGCACATGCTGGACTGTGAGCATCTCAGCGATGGTCCACATCCATCATTCCCAGGCAGGAAAATCCTGCGCTTCTCTTTCAGGGGAATCCAATTAACGCTACACATTTCTTGAGGGCTATTCCGGAACCTTTGAAATAGCTGGCTACCACAAGAGAAGAGACTCTGCTTTAAATTTTTTGTTTATTTATTTTAACACACACACACACACACACTCTACTGTGTCATTTACTTAGTTTATTTAAATTTAAATTTTATATATTTAAATTTGTTTACTTTTTTTTTACGTTACTATTACTTAATTTTTAAATTATTTTTACACACACGCTTACTATTTTATTTACTCTAATTTAATGTGTTATTTTCATTTTCTAACATACTCACACAGAATTACAGAATTTTATGTATTTTTTTTATTTTATTTTGTATTAACACATACAAACAACTTTTGCTGTTTTATTTCCTTATCTAATGAAATGTATGAAATTAATTGTCTTTATGTATAGCTTTGGCAATATTGTTGCTATACATTCATGCCAGTAAAGCTAATTTGAATTTGAAATAGCCGTAGATAAATGTGACTGGATTCCCCTGAATCTCTTCATAACAACTTTGTTGAAGAAGATAATAAACACACAAAAGATTAAAAAAAAAAAAAGTCCTTGAGAGCAGGAGTCAAACACGCAATCCTTTGATTATAAGTCCTGTGCTCTACCAACTGATACTGAAAAATTATCGGAAATTATCCTAAAGAAATGCACCTGCCAACAACACCTGTATTCAGCTATGGTTTGTCGTCTCAAGATCACGAAAAAATGATCCCGTTATCACGGGAAAACAACATTCGTTATCTCGAAATCACTAGAAAATTATCCTGTTATCACAGGAAAACAGAGTTAAAAATATATCTGAATTGATGGCCGCTTAGGGCTTCATACGTGCCCAGCTTGCCTCTCATTAAAAGACTGACCATACTCATGCAGACTGGTCATTAAACATTACAAGTACCTGAAATTTGTACTTAAGTACAGTAGGCCTACTTGAGTAAATGTCTTGGTAACATTCCTCAACTGCTCTGTAAACCCGAATAACTTCACATTACTCCAAATATTTGTGGAAACTGATTACCTCAAACTATTTAAGTAGAGGTAATAATATTTGAGTAAATCTTAAATATAATACATTTTTAAAAATTTTTAAAACGTACTGATTACTGCATACTAAATGACATTGATTCACTGATGCTTATTAAAATTAAATTCCACTTATTCTTTACTCAATAAATGTAACTGTGCACAACTTATTCTCTGAGGGAAATCCATTCAAAAAAAAAAAAAAAAAAAAACTAACTCAACAAAATTACTACTAGTAAACTTAAAATTTACAAAATGCCCATTTTCAGATAGTGGTCCTCAAAAATACAAATACAACTCAATTCCTGTTCTCTTTATTAGTATCATCTTCTCACAACATCTTCCGTCATTTCTACATTTAACAGACAAAATAAGGCACATCTTGACTGCTTGATCAGATAATTAACCAGCAACAATTTTGATAATCAATTTGATTATTCTTTTTTGCAATAATGTTGAACATTCTCTATTTCCAGATTCTTCATGAGATTTTTTTTGGTGTTAAGTGATAACTTGAATCTTGAACTAAATAAAATTTCCTTTTACTACTTACTTTACTGTGTTTTGTGGAAAAGGTGACTATGCATGATTTTATTCCATCAGCAGCACTTTCACTTAAATAACATAAAAGGGAGCTTTAAATGTGTAGTTTTATGGAATCATAAGTAAATAAAGATTTTTTTTTAAATAAGAAGTTCTACACTATACAAATTGTTAAGTCAGGTAGATGAGGTAATGGAACAATATCAGGGTTTCTGCAGGTTTCACCTGGTCAAATTTAAGACTTTAAGACCATTATGAATGAAATTTAAGACCTATATCACGACTTAAAAAAAGAAACGCACAAAGGAAATGCAGTCACAAAATTACTTGCAGAGTAAATCAATGTGTTCAAATTAGGGTTGAGTGATGTCATCAATGAAACAACGGGATGGACGATGACATTGATAAGTTACGTAACTAACAAGCTGGCATGTGGTGCACCTGCTGACGTGAAAAATGGATCACTGGTGGGGAAAAAACCCCAAAAAAACAAAACAAATTCTGTGTCTTTTCAGTGATATTTATAAAACATAACCTACTGCTGATGGATAAACTCAGGGGAGCAGACAGGGAGACAGAGAGAAGCAGGGAAAGCCGGTGTGTTTGCAGTGAGAGACCAGAGGTCAAGGTGTGTGTGTGTGTGTGTGATTGAGTGCAGGGAAAAGTTGAGGCAGGTGCAATGCAGGTACATTTACAAATGATAATAGAAATAATGTCCACGGGGATTAAAACTTGCTTTCACAGGGCAGTATAATTAATTAAGGTGGTATGTTTGTGTGGGGGACTAAGGGTCCTCCCCCAAGAAAATTATGTTTTCCAATAAAGAAATATACAATTCCACATAATTTTGAAACATTGTCATTACCACATCTGTGAATAATAACTAGGTAAATCTAGAGAAGATTTTGAAAATCTTCAAAAATAATATAATAAACTACACCCAAAATCTAAACTTGCTAAATAAGGCTACTGGGGTTGAATTCTAACCATTAGATCTGGGAAAATTTATTTGGTTAGTTTTGATACTCTCCACAATGATTTTATATTCACTGCGCAGCACCAAGCTGTTTTGAGCCTCACCACCTTATAATGGCAGGAAAACACATGACCTCAGAATCATTACAGATAGGATTATTCATGTTTGCCTTTTGTATCTTAATTTACTGCTTTATACATTTGTAGAAATTAACATAAATAAGCAACATGAGAACCACATCCCTTCTTTATTATTACAAGCATTTCATTTGTACATCAAAATCCAAGAGAATAATTTCCTCATTAGCTTAAAAGGACTAATGTTAGTTTGCATCCCTAATTTACTTTAACATTACTAACCTCAGCTCCTACGTGGTCAACATCGTGCTTTTAATTTAATTATCAAGATGTACAGTAGAGGACAGAGCTTAGTCCAATGGTAATTCTGGACTGTGCATTGTCATTTTTACTCAGCATACTTCAAACTGCTTTCCTTCTTGTCTGGCTAGAGTGACGTATGATGATAGTGATGGTGATTAAGAAAGGAACATTTTATTCTTATCTTTATGCTGATCTTGAGAAGTCCAGCTTGATTTGATTTTCTCATCGCTGTGTTTATCTCAGTCATTGTGGCCCATATTCTTTGACAACCTTATCCAAAATGCTCCAGCTGTGTCTGTGGAGCTGTTGAAGGTTTCAGTCAGGCTGGTCACATGAGCCATGGCTTCAACAATGTCCTATTTTTTCCTGGCATTTCTTTCTCTGGGAATCTGGAGGGAGAGCCAATGTGTCTTTATTGGACTTTTCGCAGACTGGAGCATTCTGGAGGAGGAGGAGCGGAGTCCAGGACTGGATCAGTCAGAATGGATTCCGTGACTTGTGTACCTCGGTTAAAGAAGATATAGTCAGTTGATCAGTCATCAATGGGCTAATCAGTTTAATCAGATCTTTAATGAATCTATTCTAATTTTCAGTTCTGAGCTTTCCTTGTCCTCAGTTCTTGTCTTACCCATCTGAATTGCAGTTTGTTTACTTTTCTTTCCTCTGGACAGGGCTGCATGCTCTATTGCATTTCTGCTATCCTTTCTCTCCAAATGTCTTTAGCTGGTTCAATAGTTTTAGACTAAAGCTTCCATTTTGCAGGAAACCCATTTCAACCAGCTTATCAAATTGTTCCATTAATGTCTAATATTTTAGTCATCAATTTCATAACTGGTGAAGGTAATCTGGGAGTGGATTCAGACTCAGTCCTCACTTTACTCTGACACTTGCCATAGTCTACTCTCTCTAGCTAGTCTGTACTCGGGTCCATAGAAATATTTGGGTCCACTGAGTTCGGTTAAGTCTAAGGCTACGCGCTGCAAACCTAACTTATCAGCTGGAAACCCCAAAAACCCTCAGACACCACAGAGAAAACCCGGACACGTCTGTCCGAGCCCCTAAACCAGTCCCACTCTCCACCCACTCATTCAGTTTACAAGCAGACAGAGGGGTCCTGCAAATCATTCAGGCGCGAGATATAAGACCACTTCCTTCACTCTGTTCAATCTCACTCCCTTAATTTTTAACAAACTATCTGCTCATTTCTCACCGTGTAAGTTCTTTTCCTTTTCTTTCTGGAACGGAAATCAGGGCTCCGCTGAACACAGCTTCTCCCTGCAGGGAGGATTTTCCAAAAATAAGCCGGCTTCTGTCCTTCAACGGAGTCCAAAATCCCTCGTCCGTCCCATCTGGGGTGCCAAATTGTTGTGGAAATTATATTCCTAGTGAGGGGTTGAGCAAATAATTGAGTTACAACCAACCAATGTCTTTGAAGAATTTATTTAACAAAAGAGAATAAACGGAGAAGTACTGAAACACATATACAGCTGGTCCACAGACCTGCCGCCTAGGGCGGCTTCGGGCGTCTGGCTCCCGAGCAAAGGGATGCATCATCATTTACACTGTCTAGGTTTCTATGTTTTGGGGAACAGAGATCCTCTCTCAGCCTTGAATGAACATTCCAGGAGAGGAGAGGAACAACAAGAGAGGAAAACACCAAAACAATCTCACAGCTCTGACCGAAACCCTAGTAAATGTGGACAGACTAACATAAGGAGTACAGGAGAGGAAAGGTTAAGGATAAAAACACACCACATATATCTATAAAGTTAAAGAGAATAGTAATAATAATGATAATATTAAAAGATCATACATAAAAGATTAAATGTAAGACACAATTTTCTGCCATAACAGAGCAGTCATGTTAGCTAGTTAAATTAATCTTGCCTCAGTAATGCTTGTATGTTGATCTACCAAATGTGCTGTCTACCAAATGAGTTAACGTTAAATGTAAAATTGACAGTTTTGTCTCAGTAATATGTTAAAGAAACATTGCTATAGGTGGTGGTCTTGATAAACTGTTGGTTCTTTTATCTCTGCTTCTTAAGTTTGTGTATTTCACTTATATAATAAATGCATTTAGTCACTTAACTCATGCGATCCAAAGCGATTTACAATTGCTATATATGTTAAAGGTGGCACGCCTTTGGAACACCTAGGAGTTAAGTGTCTTGCTCAGGGACACATTGATGGCTGTGTCACAGTTGAAATCGAACGCAGGTCTCTCACACCAAAGGCATGTGTCTTATCCACTGCTCCACAATAAGTATGCTCATTACTGTATGTAGACTTATTTTGCAAGTCTTTTGGGTGTAGTTTATTCAAAATCTTACTTTACTTACCACAGATGTGGTAATAACAATGTTCCAAAATTAGGTGGAATTGCATTTTTCTTTATTGAAAAATGTTTACATTTTACACCCTGTGACAGCACATTTTAACCCCTTACGGACATTATTTTTATTATTTCTAAATGTACCTACTTTGCACCTGCCTCCACTTACTCACACAAACACACACCTTCACCTCTGGTCTCTCACTGCAGACACACTGGCTTTCCCCGCCTCTCTGTCACCCCCTGTCTGCTCCCCTGGGTTTCTCCATAAGCAGTAGGTTATGTTTTATAAAGTTGCAGAAAAGACACAGAACTCGTAATTTTTCTGGATATTTTCACCTGTGATCCTTTTTCACCACAGCAGGTGCACCGCATGCTAGCTTGTTTATTACGTAGCCTATCAATGTTATCCTCCATCCCAGTGATTCATTGTTGACATCGTCTAATGCCAGAGTGTGAGCGTGTTCTCTAAATTAAATGGAGTTTGGTACAAACAGTCGGTGACAACTCGGGGCTAGATGGTGAACTTTTTTAACTGGCGAGCTAACTAACGGCTAACATGCTAACGTCAGTTTGGCTAGTGCTAAGTAGGGATGGGGATCGAGACCCAGTTCTAGAAGGAACCCGGTTCCAAAATTTCTCAAAACCCGAAAATCAATAAGGTCCGAGCTTATCAATACTGCTATCGAGACTAGTGTGTCCTATAATGTAACGTTATATGTACACGATGGATAAGAAAGCTAATGTTTCTAATGATGAATCGGGGTATTAAATGGGCCCAGGACTGTTTATCATCAGGCTGCAGCCTCTGCTGCTCTCTGTCAGCTCCTACACACACACACAGATGCTGCACCGTTGCGGTGGAGACAGGGAAGTTAAGTTCGTTCCAAACTACTCGCGTTGTCGACCCCTACGCTCGTTAGGCCTACTGTAAGTACATGCAATAAAATCTTCTCGAGTAAAAAGACAATACTTTATCAATACACCTGTCTGTAAGGTAAATCATCCTGTAGGCTATGTTGTTTACCAGCACAGCTGACGTTAATGTTAACTTGGCAATTACCCAAATGTTAAAAACAAGCTAAAATAGAAAGCTGTCTGTCTGCAGCCTTAAAATTTGGCACATTGTTGTAAACTCAGCTGCTGGCTGAGACAAACCAGCCGCTCCTCCTTCTACCAGGTAACGTTACCTGCAGGCAGTGAATAACAGCAGAGGGGAGGAGGAATGATACAGACTGAGTTTTTATTCTTTCTAAACGTCATTCAGTATTATGATGTAAACATTAATGTTGCTGCTCTAGAAACAGCATTTAGCTGTAATTAAAATGTTAAATTCTAATCCTATAAATAAATCAACCAGGCAGTTAATATGCACACTTAAATATATGCTGATTTATTGCAAGCTATACGTCATCTCAATATATAATATTTTCCTCATACCGTGCAGGCCTACCTCATGCCCATTGAGTCTGGTCTTACCAAATTAGTGATGTGTCCGTCCGTATCGAGGCTTCGAAGCGTCTGTCGAGTAATACAGGATGATTTTTGTGAAGCGCGTGTCTAGGCTTGTGTTGATGACGTATGTGGTGACGTTCGAAGCCTCGCGAGCCGGCCGTACGTGAGCGATTCAGGAGATGGTTTGCAGGTTTCGAAAGGAGCAGCAAAATGCAGCTGACCCTCCTCAACATTTTGTGGACTTTTGAACTTGAACACAATTAGATTTTATCTATAGCTCATTTTAAATGACTAAAAAAGTTTATCAACTTATGTCAGAATTGCTTTGATCAAATAACTTGAAGAAGAAAGAAAGTGTTGACATTTTGTGGCTTAGGTAAGAATTAAACTCTTACCCCATATTACCCTAATAATAATTTTCTAAAGCAGGTAAAATCATCCCCAAAAAAGAAACCGCCTGAAGCACTGTGGAAGTGTTATTTTTAAATAAAGATGAATAAAATGTTGTCTCTATTATCTAAAGTCATAAACCAAGTTATCATAACCCTCTCCCTTGTTTCCACTTTCTTTGACCCTCTCCTATCATAAAGACAGACACCTTATTAAAAAGCTAATCAGTCATGTATTGGCATCACGAACATCATTCATTCATTTATTCAGTTCAAAGCTTCACACACAAAAGCCGTGTTCCCGTTATAATCACCCTGCCTGTTTTACATTTATTGTCCACTTGATGGCACAGCAGAGCAAATGAAGCACCGTGAAGCTTTGGCCCACGAGTGAACCAATTGGATGGAAAGCTTCAGTGCTTCATAAAGCTTCATCTCGCCATCACTTTACCAAATAACCGCCACCAAGTAATACTAAAGTATCGATAGTGGTATCGTTAAAGAATCGGATCATTACGCAGTCTCAATAAGGGTATCAATATCAAAAATTAACGATCCCCATCCCTAGTGCTACGTGTGTGTAGGGCCTAAACCAGGTCTGCATGCTGACGGCTAATATGATAGCTATGATAGCTTCCTCTATGTTGGCCTCTCCGGCTGTCCATCGAGTCAGAGCTCACCTCAGTCAGGTTTGCTGAAGTTGAGTTCGACTCGAAACCTTTGTGCAGATTTTCTAACCTGGGTTTTTCCTCCACCTGTGTGTCAGAAACGCCATCCTGGTGAAGCATCACTCCATGAAACCTCATCCCACATCACTGCCACGCTGCTGGACTTTATGTGCCGGGTAACAACACCTGCCACACTTGGGGGTTCAGCGACCTGTTAGCCCGGGCGGAGGAGTACGAGGATTTCCAGACCAAGCCTCCCAAGTGCTAAGTGTGTGTAGGGCCTAAACCAGGTCTGCATGCTGACGGCTAATATGATAGCTAATATGATAGCAGGCCGTAAGGCTCCGGCCTCCTCGCCAACAACGGGGAGAGCGCCTCCAGCAGCGCCTCAGTACGTAGCCCCACCTGCTCCTCTGTGTGAGGACAACCTGAATCTGTGTCTCGTTCTTTGATTGGTCAGTTTCAAAACCACACGGAAATTTGATATTTAATGTGTCTGATTTGTGAAACCAGGAGGCAGCTTTGTGTCTTCACCAAATGTAAATGCTCCGTACTTGTATAGCGCATTTCTAGTCTTTTCGACCACTCAAAGCGCTTTTACACTACATCTGCATTCACCAGTCACACACATTCATACACTGAGCCTAAGTGCTCAAACGGAAACTAACATTCACACTCACTCATACACTGGCGGAATAGCCGCTAATCCTAACTATTAGGATTAGGTTGCAAGTTCGAGCCACTGCGATGAGCTGTCTCCCTCTGCCCTTGCCATCCTTGGCGCCCTCAATGATTCCTGGGAGATCCAGCAGCTGAATTTTGGCTCCTTTGTAGCGAATGACTCCAGGTACCGTTGTAGTTGTACAGAGTGGTGAACTCGTAGGCGGCAACCTCTGAGTACACACCTGCAAGGTTACTTAGCAGTGTTGACTTTCCCACTGACGGAAAACCAACAAAACCGATACGAGCATCACCGGTTTTTGCAACATCAAAACCTTCTCCTGTTGCACCACCACTTCCTCCTTTTGGTGTGATGAGTTCCCTTCTGAGTTTGGCAAGACGTGCTTTGAGCAGACCCAAGTGGTGAGCTGTGGCCTTGTTCCTCTGCGTCCTGGCCATCTCATTTTCAATCTCTGCTATTTTGGCGAGTATACTCATTGTGACGAAGATTCCTGCGAACAACCACCGTTACCGAGAGAAGCTGGAAAGATGTTACATTGAAGTTGGCAAAGTTAGATGATGCTTAGCTAGCACACTAGTCCGCTCAGTTTCAAACCTGCATTCCCTCTAACTGCCAGCACTGGGGCAACTCCACTGGATCGTATACAGGTGCTGGTCATATAATTAGAATTTCATCAAAAGTTGATTTATTTCAGTAATTCCATTCAAAAAGTGAAACTTGGATATTATATTCATTCATTACACACAGACGGATATTTCAAATGTTTATTTCATTTAATTGTGATGATTAAAACTGACAACTAATGAAAATCCCAAATTCAGTATCTCCGAAAATTAGACTATTAAGACCAATACAAAAAGAGGATTTTTAGAAATGTTGGCCAACTGAAAAGTATGAACATTAAAAGTATGAGCATGTACAGCACTCAATACTTAGTTGGGGCTCCTTTTGCCTGAATTACCGTAGCAATGCGGCGTGGCATGGAGTCGATCAGTCTGTGGCACTGCTCAGGTGTTATGAGAACCCAGGTTGCTCTGATAGTGGCCTTCAGCTCTTCTGCATTGTTGGCTCTGGCGTATCTCATCTTCCTCTTCACAATACCCCATAGATTTTCTATAGGGTTATGGTCAGGCGAGTTTGCTGGACAATTAAGAACAGGGATACAATGGTCCTTAAACCAGGTACTGGTAGCTTTGGCACTGTGTGCAGGTGCCAAGTCCTGTTGGAAAATGAAATCTGCATCTCCATAAAGTTGGTCAGTAGCAGGAAGCATGAAGTGCTCTAAAACTTCCTGGTAGACGGCTGCATTGACCTTGGACCTCAGAAAACACAGTGGACCAACACCAGCAGATGATATGGCACCACAAACCATCACTGACTGTGGAAACATTACACTGGACTTCAAGCAATGTGGATTCTGTGCCTCTCCTCTCTTCCTCCAGACTCTGGGACCTTGATTTTCAAAGGAAATGCAAAATTTACTTTCATCAGAGAACATAACTTTGGACCACTCAGCAGCAGTCCAGTCCTTTTTGTCTTTGCGAGACGCTTCTGACGCTGTGTCTTGTTCAAGAGTGGCTTGACACAAGGAATGCGACAGCTGAAACCCATGTCTTGCATACGCCTGTGCGTGGGAGTTCATTGAGCACTGACTCCAGTTGCAGTCCACTCTTTGTGAATCTCCCCCACATTTTTGAATGTTTTTTTCATAATCCTCTCCAGGGTGCAGTTATCCCTATTGCTTGTACACTTTTTTCTGCCACATCTTTTCCTGTCAAGACAGCAGTCTTCCCCATGATTGTGTAGCCTACAGAACTAGAGAGACCATTTAGAGACCATTTAAAGGCCTTTGCAGGTGTTTTGAGTTAATTAGCTGATTAGAGTGTGGCACCAGGTGTCTTCAATATTGAACCTTTTCACAATATTCTAATTTTCTTAGATACTGATTTTGGGGTTTTCATTAGTTGTCAGTTATAATCATCAAAATTAAAAGGAATGAACACTTGAAATATATCAGTCTGTGTGGAATGAATGTATACGTTGTACAACTTTCACTTTTTGAATGGAATTACTGAAATAAATCAACTTTTTGATGATATTCTAATTATATGACCAGCACCTGTAGAAGTCTATGGCTGCGTTCAAAAAGTCTTTTTTGCTGAGGAAGGTTCTTAACTAGGGCTGAACGATTAGTTGCATTTGCGATGTTATCGCAATGTGATAAAACGAGATTTTCTAATCGCAACGGCTGCGATTACGCTCTGGTCACATGACACGCGAGAGTAAACCAGTCTGCAGAGGAAGCATCAACTTCGCAAATTACGCTGTACCTTCACTTGTTGTTGTACAATGACCTTCAGCTTGACAGAAGCTGACACTACAGAAATTTAGTTTCACACAGGGAATTAAAGTAGTACCCGCCAGCCGCAGGGGAAATTGGTGGTTGTGGTGGGTGAAATTGTCGGGCTGTCTGTGGCTTTGACAGACAGGAAAGATGCACAACAGAAAGACACATGTAGTAAGGTCACACACAGGCACCAGTCAGCTCAGGAAATATCTGTGAAATGCAAAGTCTGAAAGAGGCCCAGTCTGTCCCGAGTTACAGCCTGGTTATAACTAGTGCGCTGCTTACCAGCATCAGAGGCTGCGGGGGAGGAGGGTGGGATCTCCAGTGTTGTCGGAGAATTACTATAGCTTGTCTATTAAACAACTTTTGAATTGAACCTCAGACTGAGGATTTTTTGAGGATTTTGATGAAAGATGGACTCCAAGGAGATGTGAACTGAGATAAGGACTCATTAAATGGTGGTTGAACTGTGGGTTTTGTATTGAGCACTTACTGTATAATGCACTATGTTGAACTTTGTTATTATATCATATTATTTAATGCATTGCATTAAATAATATGATATACTTGACTCTCAAATTATCTCTCATATTATAATTTGAAATTTCTTCTCCACCATTGCTCATAATAATAATAATTCATGCATCACCTAATTTCATCATAACACATGCCTGACCCACAAGAAAGAACAGTGGTGTTTAATCTATCTAATATTGTGGTGTTCATACTATACCCTGATTTATTGCTTGTCCGTTTTGAATAATACAGAAGGTATAGAGCTTAAAAATGAATCGCATATTCAACTGCAATATTGGTTAAAAAATCGCAATTAGATTATTTTCCAAAATCGTTCAGCCCTATTCTGAGTGAAGTGACCCGGAAGTATTTCAGTTGCAGCCATGATAAGAGCTGGTCGAATTCTCTAAAAGCTAAGGAAAGGAGCCTCAATGCTTCCTTTCATATCTCCTTTAGCATAGGGTACACCGGACCATCCTTTACAAAAGGAAAGGAGAGAATGCCGTCCCACAAT